GAGTCAACTATAGTTAGATGGAACAAATTTTGGTAAGCTCAGCCCTTATTATGTTCGAAGATATGACTGAACCTTTAGGTGTCTCTGTACATATTTTGCAATGTTACATGTCACTGAACATATTCTGGAATGTTCATCATGAATGTCGCATAATTGTTAAATACTTGTAAGTATACTTCCTGTATGTTTACGGTTTCCTTGCAGGAACTGTATTGTCTGGGTAAAGAAAATGAAGCACATCACTGGATAATACGCGTATTTAATTATTCCTGAACCAAGTAACTGTTGCGCTTAGAAGCCCTAAATAGTCTGTATCACTAATAATGGATCTTGTAAACGAACCCTAGCCTTTTACAAATTGACGGTTAGGAATGAGGAATTTCTCCCACAGGATTGGATCCCGAGATATCTTCAGACCTTATATCGACTTGACCGCGGTAGCACGCATTGGAAATAAAATAAGCTTTTTAACCTAAAAGTCTACATCACGACTTAATGAAAAGGCTCTTATGTGCCTACATTTTCTAGATATCATTTATTTCTACTTGGCTTCTCTTCAGAGAAAGGACGATGGAACTTTTTGAAAAATTATAAATCGCCATCATCTATACGATCAACACCTGCAGGTCGCGTGGCATAGCAGGGTTGCATAATTCTGGTTGCATGAAGAATTGATCTACGTTGTATATCAATTGTTGGTGTCCAAGCATTTCTCGCACCGCCAATTAATACGATATTATAAGCTCCAGGTTAACTTTTTGGCACACCCTCTACATACATTATTAGAATTAATGAATAAGTTCAAAATAACTTTCGATGATCTTTTACAAAACTGTAATCGAACGGCTGTATGTATCAGATACAATGACTTCAAAACTTCCTCTGTATTCGCGGCAAAGCTATCACCGACGATGAAAACTATTAAGCACTTAAGTGAAAGTCGTACGTGAGTTTAATCACTATTACATGATATTTTTGATTTATTATATTATAACGATCATATTCCGGCCAGACACAATGTTATTATATGTGTTGAATTAAAACTTAGTGGCAAATTCAGCGTTTATGTTTATGTCTTGCCTTAGTTCGTCAGTTTTTTCGGTGACGAACTGATGTTATTTAATTATCAAATTATGATTCGTTACGTTAATAAACAATGTTTTGAGGCCCACAGTTCTTCTTCTTGTCCGACGCTATAAGAGGTGAATGATAGAGTGTACGAGTATAAGCTTGATTATTAAATTTAGGTGAACAGTAGGCACGATTTATTACAGTAGCAATGAAGGTAAGTTAAACAACACGCTCGTTAGTGAATCTAGCGAGTGTCGGAGAGTGGGAATTAGCGCGGATGCTTTGGAGGTCTCTCTCTACACCTGCATGGTTGGTGAGATAGAATAAATAGAGTCCACCTTACTGACGTCATAAGTGATGTAAGAAATACTAATGACGTCACGGATGGTAGCGTTCTGACACCTGCAATGACGTCATCCGCCAGGTGGCTACATAGGAACTGGAAGCAATTATTAGACCGAGATAATAGCATATTGGGAGCATATAATAACGATCAAGCCTGCACAAACACTCCCCTCCACCGGCAGGTACAACATGGTGCCTGTTGTCCATGGCCTAGGCTACGAAACGGTTCAAATAAAAAAAAAACTCCTATATCGACGTCATAGATAGACTATGCCTCCTTTGCAGGACCTGGCGAGCTATCTACTCTACCTGGACCCGAACGACACTGCATAAAATGAGTTTTTCAGGTTAAAATATAGCGTCTAATATCAATTAAGTCTATACCCGGACTCGAACAACACTGCTGACAACGAGCACTTAAGTTTAAGATCTAGCGACAAATATCAAATTTATCTAAAACACGAACGACACGGCTTACAATGTGTTCTTTATGTTGAAACCTTTTAGTAAATAGTAGAAAAATATTTCTCGCTCCTCAAAAAAAATCCGAAACTTTAATTTGAAAGAACAATAACAACTTTTCGAATTTATGGCTTTTCTAGTCAAGTTCCTTTCCCCTTTAATAACTTTTTTCGAACAGCTTACGACTATTAATCCGTAATTTCGTCAAAATAGTATAAGTAGTGGGTCTATTTTCTTTTTGTTTGCGTCGGGCGCAGGAGTAATGTTGCATTTCAACGCTCAACGGTTCATGGTGCAGTAAGAGTACTAAAGATCTTACGATGACGCCTTGTAAGAACCTTCTTGCAAGCTACTCCCATGATTACAGCTGTTTTTTGCAAGGTGGAAGGAAGATTGCTACAAAGCATTGGATTGTGTATTCAAACAAGCTTACTGCTACCTTTGCGAAAGGCTCCACGAAGCGAAAGGCTCCACGAAGCGAAAGGCTCCACGAAGCGAAAAACCTGAATATGGGTGATATTACATCAGACAACGCTATGCATGCCAACAATAGTGAACTGCAGTTTCAACATCCAGAAATCAGAGAGAAATATAAAAAGGTTTGCGATATCAAAGAATGGTATATATGCTACATGGACTGCGCATTTCCCCCAGCAACAATAAAAAACAGCAAAAGTTTCATTTACGGATAAGTTTCAACAAAAACTGCTGCTTCTAATCAAGACGAAAGTTGTATCAACTCGCAATCTTTCAATATACTTGTGACCATGCATTGACTATAGTCCGCTTTCTTTGTCAATTATTCAGAATAATTGAAAAATAACTAATTCAGAAACAAACCTATTATTGTACGGGGATTATCTCCGGGAACTTGATGATCTTCTTGAACTTATTAAAAAAACAATTTTAATATGCGGACAAATTTTCCTTGTATTTAACCACGGCAATCATAAATCATCAAACATCCGTTCTTAAATTTCATGTTTGTTGTCAATCTTGAGCCGGAACGGTGAGTTCCGTCCTAAAATTGTGTATGGTGAATAATCATGCCGCTCAATATAAGGTGTTTCAAAGCAAATTCATCGCAATAAATACAACCAATAATGATTCTGGATAAAAAAGACACGATCGCAGTTCTGAAATAAAAATCCATATATTCTAACGTTTCGGCTATCTACACTTTAGCCATCATCAGAGTAAATAAGATGATAATCTGGAAAGAATAGAAATTCAGATAAGAATACAGTAAATATCAGATCAGATTTTATCTGTACAAGTTGAGACAGAACTGCGATCGTGTCTTTTTTATCCAGAATCATTATTCGACGCCTTAGTGTAATTGAAAAGGAAGTTTTTAGAAAACTTGAAAAATTGTTGAAACTCTATATAAAAATAAAGTCCGATTTATTATTTCTGAATAAATACAACCATAAATGAAAAATTCATTCCAATTCAAACGTAAAGCAGTGCATGTGATTTGACGTGTCTCGACACTAAAATGCTGAACCGGTGTTGCTCTGGGTGAATAATTCTTGCAAGTTGAAAATCAAGTTAAAACTAATTCCCATGACAAGAATTCGGGTAGTTTTTAAAAATTAAGTACGTTATTTGAATTGGGACCCCTTTCAAACCACATTTAGCACGCAATTACCATTCAAATTATCGATTTATATTCGAAATAAAAGTAAATTGAATTAACTGGTCAAGATTTGAAAATTTAAATTCATTTGCTTAAGTCACTCTTCCTTCTCCCTTTTGCAATGAATACTTTCCACCTGTTACTGGGAATAAAATTCAGAACCCTATATATGCTGACCTGATTTGTATTTCAGAATTGCGTTCAAATAGCTCGTATGTAACTATAGCGCCAGGTTTAAATTAAACAAACTAAGAAAGGAACTCTAAAAATAGAATAGTAAATTTCTAAAAGCTCCAAAAAATTTGAAAAAAATATTCGTCCCATTCGAGTTCAGAATACCGTTTAAACGTATAATTACACTTGAAATAATCATCACATAACTCACGTGACGTTTAACGTAAATTAAATACTTTCCGGTTCAAATCAGATTGTTTTGCTTTAATCTCGGCACAAAAGAAGATTATTCCATTAAAGATTAAAGAAGAAGATTAAAGAATAAGATTAAAGAAGCATATTCCAGGCGTATTAAAACAATAATAAAAACATGTATACCATTCCAGGAAATATATGAGCCATGAAGATATGAAAAGTGAATTGAAGAAACTCCCGTTACTTCTCAGACCCAAGAATTCAGCAGACAATCTTCCAACGTAAATGAAGGCGAAAGCACAACCTCATCCACCGTGACTCAATTTAGAGAAACTTCTGATTATCGAATTTTTTAAATTCATAACTCGATCAGTTTGCAAAACGAATATAAAAATATGCAAAAGTTAACGAATAGACAATGTGTTCACCTGATGCATTCGCACAGCACAGGCCGTAAAAAGCTGAGCTGTTAATAATATGATTTTTTGGTAGGTCAACATTCTAAAAATTTGTTCATCTCAATATAATTCTTGCATGCTTGCAGATTTTGCGTCTATTATATTAAAAAATCGCTGTATTCGCAGGAAAAAAAAAAAAGATTTTTTGTAATTCAAAAAATCAGAGCAGCTAAGTTGTTGTGATTCGCTTACGTAAACTTCAAGGAAATGAAAGGAAAAACACTTTCCGCCATCAATTCAATTTTTTGCGGTTTAGTTTAAAATTTTTTTATTACAATACATTGCATAAGCTGCTATTTTTTCTTGTTGGATTGACGATTTTTCATTGGGACGTTAATTTCCAAAATCTGGACGTCGTTTTGTATATTCTCATTTGAAATTTTATTTGCATCATCATGATAAAATGTCTCACGGTGAACTTATATTCAAACTAACATATTCTCCAAAAGTCTAACTCGTCCCATAGCGGAAAACAGAAAAAAATTATGTTCAAGAATGAGTCTGTTGTCTTCAACAAAACCTGCTCTAAGACGAACTTCTGCCTAACTACACTAATAAGAAATTTCAGCTGCACATTAAATTTTATTTGGTACGTGACATTTAATCGCTAATTGAGACTCATCTATATATAAAGTTCATGTTTACTCGAGACTTGATCACTCCACGAGATCGCGTCTGACAAAGATGACGTCACCGGGCGTACCGGCGCCGTCAGTCATTTCTTCGTAGGCGACGTAGCCAGCGGCCGCCATGTGGGCGTTGACGGCCGCCTTGCCTTCCTTTACGTGCTTGTGCTCCACTGAAATCATCTGGTAATTATCAAGCAAATTTCAGGATATTGTCGCTTGCATACTCCATCATCACTTCAATGATTGACTGTAAAAGTCTTATTGTCACTTCGCTAAAGATTGGAAGAAAGCAACTGTTAACAAGAAGCTTTTCAAGATGCTGAAAAACTGATATATTCCTAAATATTTGTCGGATGAACATCATGTGCACTATTTTGTTGACCACATTACCGAGTCACTTATAGTTTGTTTGGAAACGGCCCCGCTTAATTAGCTTATAATGGGATTGATTTTTCGTAAGTTACTTGGCATTTTTCCTCAAGGTAAGCAAGCGAGCTCCCGGGGGGACGTTACAGAAAGAATTGTATTGATTATGATTAATTTTTTTATTTTTGTTCTTTCAGATTCCACATAACGGTTATTCACAGCACGAAACTATATATATAGAACTATTAGGATAAACAGCAAGTTGGGATGAATTCGAAACAATCGAAAGCTTACAAAGAAATTCCTTCCTAAATTTCAAAATCAGTTATCATTTCCTTTACTTTCAATTCCATTTCTTCCGCTACCCAGCTTAATTTATTGTCGTAGTATTTCCGTTGCCATTTCTTAATGACACGCCATAATAATTTTTCACGAAACAACGATCAGTACCTTTGATTGAAGTGTAACCATGATAAAAACTTGAAGCTAAGGGATGGTCTTGACCATCTCAAAATCTAATCGAAGTTTCAACCAGCGATAACTCAATTCCTATTTCGGACCCACGTTATCCCTCACCTTGATATCGACTCGATGCCACGGGATCGTCTTGAGCACATTGAGTTCCTGTCCCTCAATATCGAGGCTGAAGTAGTCGATGGCGGTGATGTTGGCGGCCAGCAAGAAGAAGTAGAAAGGGAAGCATTGCACTATTTTGTAGCTCACGTCCCCATTTCCGATAGTCTCATGATCGTAGCTTATATTATTGAAGTCGAGGATCTCGCTAAGGGCCCATGCCTGTCGTAAAACGAACTGTGGAACGGAAGTAGAATTATATAATTTTTTATTCGTATGCACTATAAAATTTCTGCTCATAAAGTCTTTTTTTTGCACTTGTTACACGTACGTCATACATATTAAACGTTTATAAGAATTGATGCCTGAAACTCTGAAATCGCACAACTTGGAGCAAGACAGAAAGTTCAGTATTCTGACCTCGCTTGGATGGGGTTTACTGGAGAGACAAGAGTTTGCAATCAAAGCCTTGCGATGTCGTTTCTTCAAAGCCTTGAAGTTTCTGGGCTCGGGCTCTATCAGCAAGCCCGTCCAGGACCGGAAACGTTCCAGAAATAGCGTATTTGAGAGAAACTGGCCGTCGATAGCGCCGCACTCGACGAACACTCCGTGTGTCTGCAACGAAGTGGCTACTTGAGTTGAGTGACATGAGAAGATATTACCAGCATGATGATTTGGGACGCAAGCTGGAAGCCAGCTTTGCTCAACGTCACCCGTAAGTTTATATTTCTTCCTGTCATATTCCAAGCACTGTTACTTAATTTGTAACGAACATTAGCATTTTTCCAAGATGGATGAATATATGAGACTTGAAATTTGACACGTTACAATTCAAACCAACTTCATGCGCAGTTTTATGTCACCTTTTGTTTGAAAAAGTTGTCGACAATTGTTGTCTGGCCTACGGAAGGAACAGACATTACTGCAAACGCGTAAGGCTCTGCAGAGGCCGGCATCAGGTAATGTTGTCGGATGATGTCGAGCGGGCGAGGATCGTCCGGCCGAGTACTCTCAGAGTTCAAATCTGAGGAATTTATTTGCCAATTATCATCGCATTCTGCCATAAATGGTCAAACAAATAATAAAGAGCCGCAATGTGGTGCTTTCAAGGCGTTTAGGAATGCAGGTTCTGTGGAATAACTATAAATAATAACCAACATTAGGAATGGTGTTTATTATTATAACTCTGTAAACTCTCGCTACCCCTTAAATTCTCTCGCCTTTGAATTCATGGTTGCATACATAATGGCATGAACATAAATAATCATTTCTCACTACGTAGAGACGATGACCATCTGTTCTGTTCTGGTTGCGTTTAAATTCTTCATGACAACAACCGAGCGAGGGACATTTTCTCACCTCTAAAGCCGAAGGCTGTTTGGCTCACGGAAACAGCTTCACTAGATTCAGAAAATATGCTAGCGCCTCCCTCAGCAGCAGAATGTTTAAGAATGAATAAGCAGAACATGGACGCAGTTAAGTACATCAGCGTCTTGATAATTAGCATGCCTAATTTATTAGTTATGTTCATACTTTTTATAAATTTGTGATTTCGAAGCATTTGCATGTCCATGTTTGCAGTCAATATTCGATATACCGCTGTGGAACTTATATTTATTTTTTTTTAATAAATTACGTATTCCGTGGACTCGCGTTTTTCTGGCTGCACGAACATCACTAAATTGTTGCTACTCTGTGTTCATATCATATTATTGATTTTCGTAATTATCAGTACCCCAGAAATCACAATTAAATTTGTATGGCATTAAATTCGCATAAATTGAAGATTAGTTTGCACTTCCACTTGAAGATTAGTCACGTACACTGCTTTATTTTTCGCGCTTGGATTCCAATTCCCTGATTTTTAATTACTCTAAAATAATTTGATATGACATTTGTCAAGAATTAAGACGTCCATTAACTACCGAAATCTTACACTTCTGCATCCGTGGCAGAGGCGACGCTATGTTAGCGAGCTTGACGAATTGAACTGCACGGCCAAGCTTGTCCACTCATTGGCAATGTTTTCAATACCTTCCTAAATTTTAAGAATTAAGAAGCTTGAGCTTTATTTGTTGATACTAAATGTTATGAAATATTTTACGAGCAACCGCTCAATGTTGTGATTCGGCCGCAACTGAGGTTATGATTTGATATTAAGGTAATTTATGACATCAGCGCTTGAGCTTATATAAGGAAAACTTGTTGCTCACTATTATACAACTGAGGAAATCGCTGGTCTATATTCAGAAGCTGTCAAAACCGGGATAGTCGCTCGATAAATTCGTGGAAGTTTCGTGTTAACGATTTGTCGTTTATCTTCATAGCTAATAAGGAATATAATTTGTTGGACTTTATCTTGGAAAATTTGCAGTTCTCGCAAAATATCGCATGAATCAAAACATCTTGTGAACAACTGGAGGCTCATTCAATGGTCATTCCGTACATGAATGACCGAGGAAAATGTTTGTCTTTAATAGTAATATCCTATTCTCGTTACGAACAAAAGATAAAAGAAAATAAAAGATAAAGATTCGAAAAATAATAAATAAAAAAAAAATATTCATCCAAAAACCACATCTGCGCAAGACATTCCATAAGAATTTTGTTCCTCAACAGTTAATTCTATTACCTCATTTATCTAATGTGATATATGAAATTGTGTGATGAAATTATAGATACGTGTGCAAGGGGCCGATAATGGCTGCTACTACAACATTAAAATAACCGCCATTATTTACCACTATTTCGGCGGCTTCGTAACTCTACTGGCCATGTAAGGACTCCTGTACAAGACACCAGCAGCACGATAGTTGCGGTTGTTAGCGCATTTTCTCATACATGGAAAATAGGCGCTATCGTGCTAGCCATGGCAGTCCGTCTGTCTGTCTGTCCGTCCGTGACTTTCGACGAGAAAATGCGTCGACGAGAAAATGCGCTCTCTGCATCACTCACTGCAGGGAGTACTGAGTTATATTTTTTTAAAGGTTGGAGTGGCTGCCACTATTGCCTGCGTGTACCAGTAATATTTCTTAGCGCTATATTGTAGACAAGTACATGCGCATTATTTACCAGCTTCCTTTTTAGGTGTCTTGTAATTTCCTGCATCATCCACCAGTGCAAAAAGTTACTTATGCAATTTCATGTACTTAATTTCAAAACCAAAAATTTGGTTAAAAAAAATAAATAAATAATACATAAAAAAAATTATTTTCGTTCGGAAGAAAAATATTAACCGTGCAGATTACAGTGGTTGGAATGAGTTTCTAATGCTTCGTAAATATAAAGGTGAATCACAGGGATAAATCCAAAAGAGGTTGAAGCAAATAAGAGCAAAAAGTTACTCTGCATTATTTTTGTTAGCCTCACTACGATAAATTAGCAAAATAGAATGCCGCTAAATGTAATTTTTTGCACACTATTTTACAACAAATAACTTGAGCCATGGTAAAATATTATAAATAAATTGGAACACATATGGTTTTGGGCGACTCAGGCATCTCAGTTGATGTTGCCCCCATACCGAAGCTTTGAAATTGAATTAATTTCAATTCAATTTCCCAAATGAACTACATACAATAATTCAACGGAATCAAGTGAGATGTTCTGCTATATATAAAGGCAGAAAAGAATTGCGATGCTGGTGATGACGAGGGTGATGCTGCGGGTGGTGAGACTATATTTGGTCTAGTTGGTCACATACGTACACATGCACTGATGCCATGTCATCCAATACTATGAACAGCACCGACTAAACAGTAAAACACGTAAACTGTCCACATGTGTTCACTTCAGTAAAATGTTAATGGAAAAGAGCTGTAATATTGGCAAACAGATGCCTACGAACGTTATGTATATCTTCTTGATTAAAGCTTCAAAATTATCTTAATAATAATAATAATAATAATAATAATAATACTAATAGCGGTTTCAGCGTTATTAATTAGGCCGTAGGCCTGTCGCCGATTCTTAACATCGCAGAACATTCACAGCATTTTGCGGTCTCGAACTCGCAACTCACTGCAACAATTCTGCTGTGCTTAACCGCCCGGCCTCCTCGCCGATTCCGACAAGAAACTGGCGCACAGAGCTGGGATCGAACCCGCGCCTCTCTGCGCCAATCTTGGTACTCTGAACTTTAACCACTGGGCCACCCTGCAGCCCTCTTGTATCCTCTTGTATCGTGCAGCCCCGCGCAAAAGTGCCTGCGGGCAGCTGCCGTAGGTAATCCCCCTCAACAACATTATAAGCCAATCCTAATGCTTTAAATTAGGTGCCCAAAGCTCTTAAAAATATCATGTAAGAATAAGCGTTCGCGCAATCACTCCGCTAGACGTACAAGTTGCACAAACAGCCCTTGCCAGAATTTCTAGAAGACAATAAAGGACACGTAATCGACACAACTTATAGAACGACAGTTAGGGACGCACGGAGCCAATCATTTCGCAATGTAGCCCCTAGACGGCTCAATATCTTCCTGTTTGCGCAATATATCTTCAAGGTTCTGAAAATCACGCAAAATATCGCGCAATCCGTCAATATAGCTCTTAATTAGACGCTTAGTAACATTGCGCAATGATATTGAGCGACTAGGAGCTGCTTACGCCGACTCTCCAAATCATGAGGTTAACATCAGCTTTTTATTTTAATTTGATGAGCAACAATTGGATAAAACAATACTGTTGAGTAAACTAGTATATCTAGGGCAAATATAAACCAAAATGATAGAATTATAAAATGGGGACTTGCTTAATTCCCATTAGATGGCCAATGAAAATAAGTTAGACCTGCTCTCGGAGTATCGCCATAATTGTAACAACAAGCGGAATGTGTTATATATATTATTTCAAAACTATATCGCTATCAATCGGATTCAAGCCTCCGAGTGTACACGCACGAACTATTACTGGACTGAACGTGCTCCAAACCTGTTTCAGTTAGGACCTGCTGCCATTCGATCCTCTGTAGAAGTGCTACCTGCACACATGGGTTACTGAAAAATAATGTTGCTGCAGTTAACTGTTACTGTTTCAGTTGGGACCTGCTGCCTGGCAGTGCTCTGTAGAAGTTTTAGCTGCACGAAGTGTTACTGTACTAGACAGTAACTGCACTTAACTGTTACTGGACTGAAGATCTACTGGTACAGTTGGGACGTGTTAAACCATCGATGTTCGGCTGCAGTGCGACCTGGTGCTGGACATGCTGAACAGGTCGGCCAGGGAGATGGAGTCCAAGAAGACGGCGGAGGGTCGCAGTATTCTTGTGCGCCCCCGCGAAGTCACCTATGACGTTGGAATCATGCCAATCAATTATTTGAATGATCAGATTTAATATCCGACCTGCTTGTGACGCAACGATTGATTGTGCTCGAGTGATACCATATAACTATTTTTATCATTTTATGTCGATTAGAAACACTGGCTTTGCCCTTCGTTGTTGGGAAGGGTACGATGCTGATCGAGCTGTGCTTGAATGACGAAAAGCTAGGGGCATTAAATTATTTTAATCATTCTATTTTGTATGCAATCATCGCATTTGATCCCTGCCCGACTTACGCTCAAGTTGGGAAATCAAAAATGCCTACACATTCTTCTGGATTACCGCGAGAAAATGGCTGCCCTATCTGTGCTCAGTGACGCAATGAAATTTTTGATGTTAACGGAAAATAACCTGCTTGCATTTGAATTAAGTCTCTAATTGTTTATAATTTAATGCTTTTAGGGCCAAATAGCCGACAAAACTCTCTTGAACAACCTTACATGATCAATAATTAGTAAACTATATGTGGACTTGCTCGGTCACACATCAGTGCACCAATTTCATCCGGCTCATGGTAATGAGCACGAAAAACAAATCGGTTTCTCTGTACGGAGGTGGAATTGTGATTATTTTTTCAGAGATAATGTTCAAAGTTCAAGAGATTAGTTCCGAAACTTGGTTGTTACCACAGTAAGAAATGTGAACGCTCATACAGATAATATCTTGCAATTAATCCAATGCTGATATATCGCACGCTAAAAGGATTGAGCGGCAGTGGGAGCTCATGCGAAAAGACGCTTAGTTTACGTCTTTCTTTTTACAGATCAAAATTCGATGCATAATTGTAGTCTTCAAGAGAGAGAGACTCAGATCGGAGGGAAAGAAAAAAAGGAGTTTTCAAGAGAAACTTCTATTTCACATGCATTGAATTGCATCGCCTGAGCACCTGTAAGATTTTAAAGGCTCCAACGAAGCAGTGCGTTTTAAAGGTTGTCTGTGTGACAGACAACAGAAAAATTATAAAGAAATTAACACATGAGAGTATTATTAATTGCATGAATTCGTAGGGCCCAATGAACGTAGGGCCCAATGACACTTCAGTTATGCACACAACAAATGATAGGCGTTTCATTACAGAACACGAGTAGAGCCGAGCCACGCGTGACTCAAGCTATAGAACAAAAGCGTCGGCGACGCTGTTTAAATTGAAAATTAACGAAATTGCAATTAATAAATCTAAAACTTGGAAACTATTCCAAAGAATTTTGGAATAGAAGAATATATAGAATATAATTTGGAGGAATTTTGGTGCCTTCTTACGTATTTATGAGAATGTTTTTGCGTAATGTGCCCTTCATGGTGCCGGAAAAAAGCGTCCTCTTGAAAATTGAAAGATCTATTTTATATTCGAGCTATCGTACATTTTCCTGACTTTTTCATAAACGATCCATCGACTTTTTTCATCAATATTCCTGACCGAGTCTGAGATAGCGTTGCATAAGATATAAACCATGTTACAATCAAAAGTGGTTAAGATACATCAAATTATAAAGTGCAGCTTATTAATTGGTGAACAATAATTTCATATTTAACATTCAATGCATATAAATGCAATGAATTTGCAAATAAAACTGTTCGTGATCCAGGACAATGTAGCTGAATATATATTGATCTCGAGTTCATTTTCACTCGATCGTAGAGGCGGTGAAACTGCCCTGGCATGACTTGAAACTAAGGTTATCTAGGTGTCGTAACTGCCTTGCGTCTATGGCTTTCTAATAAAAAATTACGAAATATTTATTGGGCTGATTGCGAAGAACACGAATTAAAATAAAAATATATGGAATATATGGAAATTATGAGTGACTTTCTAATAAAAAATTACGAAATATTTATTGGGCTGATTGGGAACAACACGAATTAAAAAAAAACATACGGAATATATTAGGAAATTATGAGTAATTTCTAATAAAAAAATTGCGACATATTCATTGGGCTAAATTGGAACAACACGAATGAAAAAAAAAACAGAAATAAATAATGAACCTATAAAAATATCGAGAACAGACAAGGTGTCGCTAATGCCCGGCATTCTAATTTCATTCCTCAGGCTACAAATTGATATGTTAAGGTTTATGATAGAACTGGGCAGCGAGCCGCGGTCTCTCAACCATCGCAAACAAATGACGACTAAACGCTCAAAGAAAATTGAATACCTATTTAAACTTTTTACAAAAATTATGAAATAAATCAAAAACTATGAAAATTAAAATTAAAAAATAAAATTAAAATATGACCGTTCCGTTATCGAAATTCATCAAAGAGCGGGAAATCGACCGGGTAATCACCTACATGTCTGAAATCCAAATATTGAATTGTTACAGGTAAATTGATAGCTAATAAGCTGAAAAAACGACATCATTCCGCGAACAAAAAAGAATTATCAATGCCAAAATGAAACAGATTACGCTCTATTCAATTATGTTAATCTAACGTGATGACATCGTCAGAGTCACCGACAGATGTATTTGATTTTAGATGATCTTTAGATTTATTCCTCTGCTCAGCAGAAGGCTGTTGAGTGCGCAAATGCTGGAGTTTTTGAGCAACAGTTAAGGATTTCGCTCTTGATGCTGGAAGTTTTTTATTAGACACCAAGGCAAGATTAGTGTTAGGACTATTTTTGTAGAACTGTCGCGCGTGCGCATCCAAACTTAGCGATGTCTTGGGCGAGGGCTGAGTCGCTTGTTTGCCGCTGGCCCAAGGTGATGGCGAGGAGAAGGTAGCAGCGCTAGCGTTGCCGTAGGCCAGTTGCATCAGCTGCTCTGGGTTCAGCTGAACGCAGCTAGAAGGAGAAGGCTTAGAAGAAGATGCTCTTGAAGAAGAACTCGCACCAAGAGGTGCCTGTCGCACTGGATTCAGAGAAATACTTTTATTTGACGTCGGAAGTGCTCTCACAGGATCACTTTCTTTTGACGGAGAAACCGTGACTGAGAGGCCTTTGGGCAAACGCGGGAGAGGTTTGCTACTCATGGCCATCTGATAGGTGGAACTTTGGAAATTATTCGACGGGAACGATTTCTTTTGCGCAACTGGGTGGCTTGGTTTCTGCTGAGACTGAGGTGGTATGTTTTTTTGGGAGGTAGAACTGCTGGACGATGGATTGGGTTTTGGTACTGATTCCTTGTTCATCGGGTTGCTCTTGCGCACACATTTCTCCACGATAATATCGCTGGACGAGGTTCGGGAAGAAGTTGCAGTTGGGAGTTTTTGAGAAGCCCGCCCGCTCGCGGCTGTAGCTGTAGGTACAGTCTTTGGAGGGGGAGGCAATTTAGCGGCAGTATTTTGCATTTTTTGCAGAGACTGTTGGAAATATTGAGAAACAACAGGTACTTTTAATAACTGCAATAATTGAGCCTGGTAGTTGTCAAGCTGAGACTTGTACAAGTTATAGGTTGCAGTATCAATGCCTTTAGCACTGACTTTAGATTGAAATTGTATTAGTTTTTCATACACTCCGTATGCATGACGAATCAATTGATCGTCGGAACTACTTGCGGGCAGCTGCATAGAGGCAGAATCTTGCACTTTGTTCGCTGAACCTGTTTTTGAGGCGAGAACTTGTGACTTTTTGGAATCATACGAAGAAGTTGTGGCTTGAGCCGACGAGGAATTTGCAGGAGTTTTGTTTGGGGATGGAACGGAAGATGGCTTTCGGGAGGAAGAATTGGCTTGACTTCGGGAGAACGCAGCTGATCGAGGCAGGACGGTGGCGCTGGAGCGGGGCACGGGCGCAGCAGTTGACCGAGGTTGTGGGGTGGCCAAGGAACGGTTAGAAGCATTCATGGCTGACTGGCTCGATGAATAAGATGAGCCAGAACTACCCGGCATATTCGCCTTGGGCACATTACCATCTGTTGCTGGATTAGCTCTGACAGGTTTGGTATTGTTGGCTTCCAGCTTTGAAGAGGATTTCTGAGGCTGCCTATCGCTGGCAAGAATACTTTTGGGATTTCCACTGGCGGAGTCTTGTTTGCGATGTGTGACGTCAGCCTCTGAGACCTTCGCTGATGCATTGGGTCCTGATAGCAATGGCACACAAGCCTGACGATTACCTCCTGTTTTCACAGGCTCCACCAGCGAAGGCTTAAGCATTTGTTGTTGCTGGTGAAGTAGCAAAGCGTTCGATGGCCGCTTTGCTTGAAGAAGAATTGCATTCGCTTTTTGCTGTCCTCCTCTTCTGGAAGCCAGGTTGCCCATGTGGTGAGCCTGGCAATAAGCTTCGGCTTGGCGCAACAACGTCGCAGGATCTCCAGTAACGACTTCTAAGGCTGCGTACGTCTGGGAAAGAAGGGAGGAAATTGTTGATTCAATTTCTCCAAGATGGCGACTCAAATAACGGTGACATCCATATACATCGGACAAGAAGGCCATTTTTCGATTTCTATGAATCACGGCGTTGGTTTTGAATAGTATTCTGAATTTATCCTTGACAGTTTGAAGGCCAACCTGAGTTGCATGCTCACAAAGTAATTGTCTTTCATTTTCACGCAAATATTTCTTATCTTTTTCAGGAGACACCTTCAGTGCAAGCGCAATATCGAACGTGGTCTGGAAATCCTTGACGCTGGGCAAGACATCGAGAGCCAGCGAGACGCAGCGAAACATGTGCGCTGCGAAGCTGCCGGGCCGGTCTATCTCATCATTAGGGATGCGCCAGACGCCGTGGAACAGATTACAATTGCGCGGCTGTTGGTAACTGATCCTGCGCTCGTGGAAGAGTCCGTTGACAGGCATGTAGTCAACACGCTGCCAGAAGGTGCTACCTATGAGGTAGTTACGAGTCTTGTTGTTATCCTTGCACAGTTTGGCCGTGTGGTAGAAGTGGGCGAGGCGGTACAAGCTCTTGTAGTGATGAGGGAAACGAACCAGGCACAGTTTGTAGGCATCCAAACATCGCGATATTATTATTTTCTTGCTTTTTTGTTCCTTGCTCTCTTCCACTACCATAATCTCGTCATCACTGCACACGTTGACACTTTGTGTTGTATTGTTCGATTGTGTGGTTCTGTTTTCTTCAGGATGGCCTGGTTTGTTTTTAGATTGAGCCTCATCGCACGCATTCTCCATTATTTCTGAAACCAAAGACTGTACAAAAGCAACATTCTGTATCAACTGTGGAGAGGGCGAAGGGCGGCTCTTAGCTGATTGAGAATCAAGACAAGAGAAATCTGTTGGGATGTACTGCGTCGAGGTCACGAAATTTCCTTTAGACAATTTCTCAGTCACCAACATGAAGTAATCTATTAAATCTGCTGAGGGAAGCTTAACGTCTTTTGGGTCGACAAACTTCATGATGTAGCTGTGTATTCTGAAATGCATTTCTAGAGCTTCAACGGCGTATTCCTCGGGATTATTGTAGTTAATTTTCGAAGGGTACTGAGCACCATTGAGGTGAAGCTCATTAGCAGCAGCGATGTAGTTCTCAATGATTTCCTTGGGAGGTGCAGTTTTCTTCTCCCCAATTTTGCCTAGCATATAATAATATAACCAGCGCTCGTCGTCAGGTGCCACGTCCTCCACGCTGAGCTTCAGTGCCTTGCTGAAGCATTGCTCTGATCTGTCCAGCATCTTGGCTTTGGTTTTCTCGAGCAGGTCGTACATCTCGAGGCTCATGTCAGGGTTCAGTTCTTGCTTGAGGAGACGGGAGGCATGGGAGAAAGTCATGTACACAAGACCGGCAAATTCGACCCAAAGGTTCGAGTGATTTGGGTCCTGCCTGAGGGCTTCTTCAAAGCATCTGCTTGCTTCTTCGACTTGACCAAGAAACTTCTCCTCGTCTGGGATTATTTCGCAGGAATTCAGTTGCGTCTCCAGCTTGGTCTTCAGCGCAAGACCAAGTCCTGCCCACGAGTCAAGGCGGCTAGGATTGATGACAATGTCTTGCTTATAATAAAATACTGCGCTGTCCCACTCCTTGTTCTTGAAGAAATGATCTCCCAGCAAGTAGAAGACGTGAGGGAGAGGATGGTTCTCAATGGCTTGCTTCAACTTCATTTCGCTTGTGTCACCTGATAAATATCGCTCCACTTCCTCAAGCTTGTTTACGACCAGAAACTCTTCAGGGAGAAGCTCCACGAACCTGAAGCGGGAAGCGCCAATAGAATATTGGTATAGAACACAAAAAATTGTTTACTAGGATCAGCACTAAATGCAAGTACGTGTTATCCATTTAAAACGTGACATTTTGCACAGCACTAGAAAGTAAAGGAGCAGCGACAAAAAATAAATTAGAACTTAAAACGTGAACGATGATGCGGGACCAAATTCCTAGAATGAAGAGAACAGAAACTTGATAAGATGAACGCATCGCATTATAATATCTCCATATTACGAAACTCTAGAGAACACGAGTTGCAATGTTTTAAATTTTCAACCCATTTAGCGTCAGAATAATTAAAAACCCTGGCATTTCTACACACTAAAGCCAGACAATTAGAAAAATGTCCCAAAAAATCGACACTATGAGAGTGAGGGATAACGAGCGCACCTCTTGAAGAGAAGAACAATTAAAAAAACCCTGGCATTTCTGCACGCTAAAGCCTGGCAATTTAAAAAATGTCCCTAAGAACAACGAGTATCAGAGTGAGGGATAATGAATAATTAGAAACCCTGGCATTTCTGCACACTAAAGCCTGGATATTAGATAAATGTCCCCCAAAGAACCACGAGTATGGGAGTCAGTAAAAATGAGCGCACCTCTTGAAGAGCAGCGCCAGGTCCTCTGAGAGCGAGGGCGGCGTGGCGGCCTGGAAGTGCGGCAGCTCGTCAGGTCGGTAGTATGGATACAGGCGCGCCACGTGGCCGTATGTGAGCGGGACACCCGCGCCCCCGTGGTCCCGTACACCGCGCTGGGGACAAGGCAACACATATGTATGGTAGTATGGATACAGGCGCGCCACGTGGCCGTATGTGAGCGGGACACCCGCGCCCCCGTGGTCCCGTACACCGCGCTGGGGACAAGGCAACACATATGTATGGTAGTATGGATACAGGCGCGCCACATGGCCGTATGTGAGCGAGATGCCGGCGCCCCCGTGGTCCCGTACACCGCGCTGGGGACAAGGCAACATGAATGACTTGCTGGGGACAAGGCAACATGAATGACTTGCTGAGGACAAGGCTATACCGTAACATGGCAGCTATAACATGACAGCTATAACATGGCAGCTATAACATGGCAGATATGACATGGCAGCTACAACATGGCAGCTACAACATGGCAGCTATAACATGGCAGCTATAACATGGCAGCTATAACATGGCAGCTATAACATGGCAGCTATAACTGCTGTAGGTAACCCTGCCCTAGGTAACCCCAGGCAACCCTAACCTTATTACGGCGCGCAGGCAGCTGGAAGAGGCAGCAGGTTGCCTGGTCGCGGGCCTGCAGCAGGCTGGTGCAGGACGCAGTGTGCAGGTCCTGCCTGAGCTCCTCCAGCAGCACCGGCAGGCTGTACAGCAGCAGCCGCCCCCCGTCACTGCAGCACCGCTCCAGCCTGCACCATGGGGGAGGGGAGGTCTTAGTATACTGATATATGAATGAATATCTGAATGACATGAATGAACACAATGACATGAATGAACATTCTGAAAATATAGGTGTTGTCTTAATATCCTCATACGGATATGAATTCTGCAAGAAAGGGGGGTCTTAATATACTGTATGGATATGAATGAACATCCTGCAACACAGGGCGTGTACTAATATATTGATATATGAATGAAGAGAATGATAAGAATGAACAGAAAAATATGAATAAACATTCTAAAAATATAGTTGTCACCTTAATATCCTCATAAGGATATTGCGTACTGAAATATAGGCGTCGTCTTACTATCCTCATATGGATATTGCGTTGGCTTTGTACGTGGTAGTATTTAGGGGGGAATAATTTTTTGATTGGAAAGTCCTTTAAAATAGGTTACAATACATGAATTTTTGGCCGTTTTCTTTAGCTTTTCAGAATCTTGCTAAGATTATCACTAAATGCAGGCATGAAAATACCTATACGGCTAGATGGTCGATTAGAAATGTTGCAGGATTCATATTTTTAAATTACATTTTAAAAAGCTAATAAATAGTTGAACTACAACTTGACCTTAAATAAAGGTTAGTTGCTTAGTTACACCATGGTTAGTTTTAGCATAATAATAGGGATGTCCAGAAAAATTCAACAGAATTTAATGCGAGACGAGTTGACGACACTAATAATTTTTTTAACAGAGCTTTTTTGAAATATTCTAATGTTATGAAAAAAATTACATTTTCTATTCAGCAGTTATACCAATAAATATATTCTAAAAATAATAAATGAGTGACACAGTAAAAAGAAATTGAAAAAGAGGCTTCAAATAACAGCCATCATCTCGAGACTGGTAAAAAAATATAACTCAGTCCTCGCTGCAGTGAGTGACAGAGAGCGCATTTTCTCGTCGACGAAAACGTGAAGTCACGGACGGACGGACAGACAGGCGGACGGACACTCGGACATGGGGAGCACAATAGTGCATTTTTTTCATAAATGATAAAATGCGCTAAAAACACATGCAACAGAAAACAGGACCAATAAGAATATTGCAAGACAAGACCGCCGCCTCCCGACGCGGCCTGACTTCGAGAGAATATAGAATTTAACACCCATATATTTAACGCCTACTATTTGAGATTTAACGCCTATTTGAGTACGTATATAGATTTTAACACCATTCCAGTTTTCAAGGTATTAAAATGCGCTAAAAAACATGCAACTGAAAACTGGACCAATAAGAATATTGCACGGACAGACGGACAATTTACGGACAGACAGACGGACGGACTGACTTGGCTTCTGGTCAACATATTCTATATATTTATATTATATTATACCGTATATTATATATTGAATATTGATATATAATAATAATGTGCAGACTTGGCGAGCTCGTCGTGAGCGGTGACGAGCAGCAGCGTGGAGGGCAGCGGGTGCGGCGTGCACGACAGACGCTCCTGCTGCAGCAGCAAGCTACTACAATTCAATCTGAACGTCAGGCTTGTAATTCACTATCAGGATCGAATGCTCACCGCTCATAGGCCAGGACAATATGAATAAATTCCAGGCTACTGTGCTCATTGATCTATCCTACAATGCCGTTCAACTCTCCTTGTCATCGTCAGCTAAGCCGGTTCAAAGGCTGTGGTATATAATCACGACAAAGCACACTTAAAATAGTTTATTGAATCACTGTGTTTAAAATCAGTAAAATCAGGTAAAGGGAAAGCACAAATTCAGACTAAAATAACTATTAAAGAAATGTTCAAATTGGTTCAATTCCATTTACTATTGCACCGCATTAATGCACATAGTTAAGGTTACCGTAATTAGCATAGGCGAACGACAGCAGGTTAGACTAAATAGTCACGGCACAGCCACAACTCCAGCGTTAAGCACAGAATGCTGAGAGTTAACACAGCTGAGCAGGTTCAGGTATGAACCTCACTGAAGGGCTGGCGGGACACGACTAACTACCTGACACAAAGACGCTCAGACCTGACCTGGTACTAGACAGTTCCAACTGCTGTAGGTCTGACTCGCATGTCACTGGCGCGGCTTCGCCAGACGTGATAGAATTATTTCGTCACAAGAAAATGCACATTGAATAAATTAGTGAACGATTTTCCTCGTTCACAATATGAACGAAATCAAGTAAATTGGATACCATTCAAATAATGCTAAAATTTCGTTTACGTGATACTACCTACATGAAGATTTTACAAGCGCAAAAAACTACTCGGAAAACAATCTCAAAGTTCTGACGAAGCCGGTGGTTTGAAGGTTGATAGCTGGAGTCCTCTCCTTAATGATGAGGGCCTCTGCTATAGCCAGTCGTATAGGATCGGGGCACCGCATAACGATACTGGAAGAACTTGTTGATATGTAAATGAACCCAGCTTATGTAGCAATATCTCTACTGCATCATTACGTACGCTGATGTGTGTTCCAACACTTCAACACGTTGACTACGATTGCTTCATCTTGTACTATTATTTCATTTTTTGTACTTTTTTAAGCAGGGTTGCCAGACGGCAGACGGTTATTATTTCCGGACAAATTCCGTGATTTAGTTTTTCTCAATTGCGTTGGCCGGCTAAAATTTATGATAGGGGTATTTCCTAATTAAATTTTAAATACTGTAAAAAGAAAATAAATGGAATTTTTATAGCGGAACCTACAAATAAACTAGTATACATTGAATTATCGGCCTTTTTTGGCCTTTTTTGTTCTCGGATTTGGCCGATTTTAGGCAACCTGAATTATGTACGCCTACCTCCTGGAGAAATACATTTCGTGGTACGCATATGTACCAATACGTAGTCGACGTGTTAATGTGCGATTCAACGACTCATCAAGAGTCCAGTAACGGCCACTCACTCACCGTCATCATTGAGGTTCTCCATGGCGCGCTCCATGGAGCGCAACGTGAGACTGATGAGCGGGAAATCATATCCTTTCTCCTCATTGTCTTCTCCATCATCACTGGAAGCAGCGCTCCATGGAGGCCTTGACTTGCAGGCATTAAGCTCCTGCTCCAGTACCAAGCTGCCCCACTCCAGCACTCCCTGGAGGACATCAAAGATTGGATTGGTTGGAACACGCAAAGTCTGCGTGCAAAACTACGATGCTAAAATAAACAGACGCACCTATGAGCTTGTAAGATAGTACCATACGTGACATGCGATGGCGATTAAAGGCACCAATGATAAACTAATTCTAGTACACATAAATCATAACCTAATTCTAGTACGCTTATAAACCAATTATAGTGCACTTAAAACATGACTCAGCATTTTTGCCAGTCTCTGAAGTAGCTCAGACGTGCTAACCTTATGGTCCTGCATGGCAGTGAGCGCAGAGATGAGCAGCGAGCAGTGAGCAGACCGCTGCTCAGCGTCACTGAAGCTGACGTCGTCAGTGAGCTCCCCGCTGACAACCTCAATGACCACTGCATAGTTCTGCTGACTGAACTGATCCTCGACCTGACGGACTAGCTGACGTCTGCAATAATACAACAATATCAGGGAACTGACAACTCCTGTGATGAGATACTCTGCACTTATGAAAGCTGCATGCTTTCACCTAATGAAAGCTGCATGCTTTCACTCAATGAAAGTTGCATGCTTGGATTTCTCAGTGTATCGAGAATATTAGTTAGCCATTATAATTAGAGCGACATTTACTTGAGAAGAGACTTGAGCTGCGAGCGAGCGCGGGCTGGCGTGACTTTCTTGGTGTCGGTGACGACGCGGTGCGTGCACAGCTCGCTCATGCCGAGGTCTTCACACTCGTCCACCACCTGCAACACAAATCATAAGAAATTAATCCTCCTGCAACGCAAATCAAAAGATTTTAATCCTCCAACACAAATCAAAAGAATTTAATCCTCCTGCGACGCAAATGATAAGAAATTAATCCTCCTGCAACGCAAATGATAAGAAATTAATCCTCCTGCAACGCAAATGATAAGAAATTAATCCTCCTGCAACGCAAATGATAAGANAACGGTGAAAAAGCGGTCCCACCGGCGTTCTAGTGGCCGGTCGCCCCGTGAAAATAAACTGTTTCGTCGTTTTTATCAGACGTTTTACGGATTTCCAGGGTTAAATTAGAATAAAAACGGCGCACGGTGTTTCTTTTCACGTGCCGAGCGGCCACTGAAACTATGGTAATACCGTTAACGGTAATTTTTCTAACAGTGTAAGAATTTAACCCTCTACCACCTGACATGGGTAACCGGAGCAATATTCTCACAAACCTACTTCCCAAAAACGATACGTTCTAGCGAGCGCAAAATGACTTGCACTGATGGTTGCCGCCACGTATGACAAATTTAAAATGTTGCCTGTTGCGTACAAACGTCCTCAGGTTGCTACACTCAATAGTTTATGTATAATTCAAGTTGAAAGTTATGTTCCCGGAGGTGACGTACGGCGGTAGAGGGTTAAATCTTAGTCGCCTTGCACAAAAAAAAAAACACCAGCGCTGCAAACCCGCGGGAACAACTATTTTCTACAAGCTAGGCAAGATAAAAAAAAAAACAAGTTTTAATCTTATCCAGGAGGCAATAGATAATTAAAAGGAAATAATAAAGGAGCAAACACCGTGGACCAGCAACGAAAAGATTATCATTTCTCATAATTTTCAGATCAAAGGCGATGGTTTGAGGGCACACGGACATTATTATCAATTGTACAAGATAACATGAATTGCTTCCCGTACCTTCTACACGAAGTAACCTACACTACATCAGACTTGAAAACTGATTTCTTACTCGCATTAATCAATTTCTTTGATATTAATTTAATTATAAATAATTCAATACATTTAATTATACAGATCAGAACGGGAGCCGATCATGTTATGGAGTGACTTAGGAGTGACCTGACTTAGGTGTTACGGAGTGACCTGACTTAGGTGTTATGGAGTGACCTGACTTAGGGGTTATGGAGTGACCTGACTTAGGTGTTATGGAGTGACCTGACTTAGGAGTTATGGAGTGACCTGACTTAGGAGTTATGGAGTGACCTGACTTAGGTGTTATGGAGTGACCTGACTTAAGTGTTATGGAGTGACCTGACTTAAGAGTAACTAATGACCTGACTTAGGTGGAGGGCAGCGATCTCTGGCCTGCCTCTGACCATCTCAAGCTGCGCCATGAGCCATGAGAAGCGCTGTTTGTACGCGGGCACAACAGAGACGATCTCGGGGCGCGAGAGCAGCAGCGACAACAGAGACACATCGTCGTCCCTGTAGCGCTCGGGCAGGGGCAGGTTTAGGGCAGACTTGGCACTGAACGCAAGCTCCCAGTAGGCGAGTGTGACTGTGCTGTGCAGCTGCAGTGCTGGCACAAGCTCTGTGCTCATGCACAGCGGGGAAGGCTCTTGTATTGTCTCCCTGTAGCGCGGGTACAGCCCCAGCAGGATGCGCGCGTCACCAGGCTTCCAGACGCAGGTGGGGCGCGCCGACACGAACGCCCTCAGGAAATGGCCGAGCAGGTCGAGCACGCCGTGGTTCTTGCAGTGCTGCTCTAGGAATGCACGCACCTGCACAACATATTATTACTCGCATCGCTACATAACGTGAGATAATATTTGGCTAACACATACGAAGAGTTAACATGGAAATTTTACACATCAAAGTGATGATGAGCGAAACGCGTCGCAGGATTTATCGAACCTTTCATTTGGACAAATTTTAATCCACATTGACCCTATTACTGTACCTCTTATCAGAAAGCTTGATAAATTAAACTTAAAAGAAGTCCTCAATAAAACTGCATTATTTTCAACCAAACATCAAACAAAATAAACAATTGTGATCTTCTTGCAGTGCTGCTCTAGAAATGCACGCACCTGCACAACATATTATTACTCGGCGCATCGCTACATAACGTGAGATAATATTTGGCTAACAAGTACGAAGAATTAACATGGAACTATTACACATCAAAGAAAATAAACTAACTTTGATCTTCACCGGAAAAATATTCGAAAAATACATCAAAGCTTTTTTCTATTTATTCCTCAAGGAAAATAAATTGCATGAATACATGAGGAAATCAATCTTGTTATCAAAGAATGCATCATCAGGTCTCAAATAACAGTGCATTACTGCATTTCAACTGTCACAACAAAGTTGGCTTATAATGAAAATTTACACAAGAATTCCGACATCAACAAATCTGGCTAACAGAAAATAATCACCCTTATTCAGACAATTCGTTGGTAAGCTATCTTAAACATGTACTGTCAAAGAACACATATATATAATCACACAATATCTACCAAACATGCACTTCAAGATATCAATTACAGTACATTAGTTACCATTTTCTCTTCAGTCTTGATGTGATCCTGTTGCGTGTCAGCGCTCGACTGTTGCGTGTCAGCGCTGGGTTTTCGAGGCCTAGTGGCAGGCGGTTGCTCAGTAGACGCGGTCACGTCATCCGGCGTCCTGACAGCGGTGGGGTGCACGCGTGCAGTAGCGCTGGTATCATCTCGCACAACTTTAGCAGACGACGCTGCACAACTGATTGATGTTCCTGATGTGTGTTCATCGTTCTCGACATCAGGGACTGCAGCATGCTTTGTAGGTTGCGGCACTGCATCAACATTCACCACGGGCACAACATTTGTTTCCGTGCACGTGTTATTTGCCACGTCCGGCGACGAGGCAGCACCGCTGGCAAGTGTTGCTGCTGGTGCCTCGTTGCTGGCCTCTGTGTTGGTCCTGTCCATGAACACGGATAATATGACCACTGCATTAACTGATTATAACAAATAATTGCAAACCATGGATTATTGAACGGCTTTCACCTGTTTCCTCTCAATGACCACTGCATTAACAGTTTATCATAAATAATTGAATTGCAAACCATGGATTATTGAACGGCTTTCACCTGTTTGTTCTCAAAATATATCACGTATCAATATATCAAACGTATCAATATATCAGAGTGGTAAAGGAGATGTTTGTTCACATATTCACTACAGCGATAGGGAAAAATTTTAACACGTATCATTGGTTTCTATGCAAGCATCGAGAATTTTTAGATGCCTCTAAGGTACGAAACTTACTGCAGTATATGTACAGTTTTACATCTTTCAATAATGAATAACTAAGTTAGTTCAACGTATAGCTCCTGTCAGCAGGTTCGCAAGACTGCAGTTTAAAATCAATCAATGTTTGAGACGATGACCCTCAATAATTACAGAAGAGATTCTTATCAGACCAAGTCTAGCAGAAATACTCACGTACATAAGTACTATTAAGAGTGAGAAACAAATTTTTGTGAAAGAGAAGTGATCATTGGAAGCTATGGTCTCTCGTTTGTGAGCGAAACAAGGAATAAATTAAGTAGCTAACAAACATGCTGATGTCTCAACACTACAGCACGGCATGCTGATGTCTCCACACTACAGCATGGCATGCTGATGTCTCAACACTACAGCATGGCATGCTGATGTCTCAACACTACAGCATGACATGCTGATGTCTCAACACTACAGCACGGCATGCTGATGTCTCAACACTACAGCATGGCATGCTGATGTCTCAACACTACAGCATGGCATGCTGATGTCTCAACACTACAGCACGGCATGCTGATGTCTCAACACTACAGCATGGCATGCTGATGTCTCAACACTACAGCATGGCATGCTGATGTCTCCACACTACAGCACGGCATGCTGATGTCTCAACACTACAGCATGGCATGCTGATGTCTCAACACTACAGCATGGCATGCTGATGTCTCAACACTACAGCACGGCATGCTGATGTCTCAACACTACAGCATGGCATGCTGATGTCTCAACACTACAGCATGGCATGCTGATGTCTCCACACTACAGCA